TGTGTGTGTGTGTGTATGTATGTGTCGTGTGTGTGTGTGTGTGTGTGTATGTGTGTGTATGTGTGTGTGTGTGTGTGTGTGTGTGTGTTTGTGTCTGTGTGTGTGTGTATTATATTAATCTTTTTGCGATGGTTTCGCAATCGAGCTTGCACCCGTACTGACTTCCTTGTGGTACGGCTCTGTTGCTGCCGTCCGCTCTGGACGGTTATTCTCCCATTTATAATCTGGACTATCTGCTACTCTAAATATGCAACTTCGCTTTGTTCAAGTAGTCATATTGGAATATGACCGAAACGATCTCGCATCGGTGTGTATTTTTCAGTGAAGGTAGATCACCACGTTTATCTATAAAAAAAAGTCTTATTGGTGATATGTGGATTCTAGTTAGTCTGGTTGAGCAATTACGCAAGTCGATGCCGTACTTTCAGACTTTTTTTTCACACTCACTGTTAACACACTGGCCACTGTCACTGCTATGTATAATCGAGCGATCTTCGCTTCGAGGGTGTATATTAGTGACCTTTCTGCTCATTAGTTCAAAACAATCGCAGTTCTGATCCATTATAGAAAGCCCACCGATACCTAGATAGAAAGTTTTCATCAATATTCGGTAGTACATAGCATCACCAAGTCTAAAATATCGAGCATGGGAATCCGGCGGGCGATTGACCTCATGGTTGTTATTCGCCCGTTTTTAATTATAAGAAACCTCAATGCTGTACAGGAACAAATATTCAGTTTCTGTGCTGTCAGAGGTGTATCGCTGTATACCGGGACACGGATCTATTTTTGGATTGGGTTTTACACACTACGCACACCCAGGGATCTATTTTTGGATTGAGTTTTACTCACCACGCACACCTAATCTTTCATACAGGTGTTTGTATGGCCACTGCAAGAGGCTGCCAGGCTGGACAAGAACACTTTCACGGTCCGTGTACTTTCAGTGGAAGTGTATTCGCTCCATGGTGTGCCGGTGACTGTGTCAGCATACGCACAGTGCAAAGTGTCTACTGAACGTGTGCGGGTGGCGGCACAGTGCTTGCTCAGCAAAACACAGGCGTATGTGTGCATGTCGTTGTTTCAGGGTACGGATCATATGCGGGTGTATATACATATCTGTAATCATATTTATGTGTGTGTGCGTGTCGTACGTTTATATTTCATGTGTAGATATTCGGTGCATACACAGCAACTGTACACGTGTGCGAGAGAGGTAGAATTGGTTGAATACACGCTCACATATTGCTGCCGTGTATACGGAAGCCCAGTGAGTGTACGACAATGAGTACATACGTTTTTCTTTCTAAAAATTCGCACCTTCATCTGCTAAGGGATCATATATAGAATCTAAGCGTCTGCCAGTTTTCCAATTGGCCATAGTTAAATGGTTGACGGCCTTTGCAATACTTCCTCATTCGGTTAAGACATTTATGCCCTATAACAATAGCTCTGTCACTGGCTGATGATTTCACGATTTCTTGTGATGGAAGTGCGCATCTGGCCGGATTCATTTACCATCGGAGTATTTGTTTTAACTGTATTACAGAAGTGGAATGGATATCGTATCGCATAGTTTGATACGTGTTGTATTATATAGCTCAATCAACTTGGGTATATAAGGTGTTGAGGGGTCATCTGTGCGTGTATGGGTTTTAGGGATGTTTCAGAAAAGTTTGAATACGTATATTAGCCTATGAGCCATATGTTTCCCATTTGCACTGACATGCTTCGGTTTTATAGTTGTGAAGCATCTCATAAGACTATTCTGAGTACCTATGTATTTAGTGCATAAGTTGATCATCTAGTAACAACCAAGCCTCGTTTACGGGTCTGATTTTGTGTATGTACCTCTCGCATCAATATCCCGCAGGGAAATCGAACAACTGGTGGTAGACACACTAGAGGGCCATCAACGAGGATTTATCAGCTCTTTGTCAGTGAAGGTGTGTTGTATTAGGAGTTGATACGCTCGCTCATTGTTTCGCGAGTGATTTCGAATGTGCATGTGCGACTCTACGAGCCAATCTTGTTTTTTATACGAACGAAGTCACCGTGCTTCGTCGTTGGGTTATCTCTTTGGGCTATACGTAAGACCATCTCCTGAATCACCTACACGTGGAAATTACATATATAAGTTCTCTACCGTTGTGTGGGTTCCCCAATCCCTATTCTTTTGCACTCAGGTTGAAGTGCTACTCTCTGTATCTTATTCACTGTGTGTCTGGGACGCATTGAGTCCATTTAAATGGAAATGCTCATTTGACACTAATTCAATTCACCGAACGGCAGGAATTGATATCTGACAAAAACAAAATGGAACAGGCGGTCAGAGACACCGCCGAAGTTGATCTGCTGAATTTTGGGATTGAGATTATCAGTTATACAATCAAGGTAAGAACTAGAAAGTTTGCCATGATGTTCATTTGTACACTACTGTCATCAAAGCGCACAAATACTACTGTGTCTGTTACCATACTTCTGCATGTATTTGCGTCCATCTGCGCGTGTACACCCGCTTACTAGTATATCGCATTTCTTTATATCTGTTACTGTATGGGTATGTATATTCAAGTTCGTTTCTGACTGTGATCTTTTTTTACATGTTCGTGCCTAGATGCGTACAGATTTGGCATCATACCCATGAGAATGCACCACATGTCCATGCGCCATTTCCGATGACCTTATGCCCTGTTTGTATAGCTGAACCTTATGCATGCATCTCTCTAGTAGTAGAGCTCGTTGCGCACTTACTCTGTCTAGAGAATTTGCATGTTTCGGTCGTTTAAACACATAGCGCCTACCCAAGGTAGAAGTTCCCTACTATCATGCAAGACACTAGCTATCGAGCCCGTGCCGATTTTAAAATTCAATTGTATGTCATATTCTATGAATGGGTATAGTACAGTTCGTGCATTGATGCCCTATCTCTACCAGGCACTACATATCACCACCCACTAACTTAGTCTAATACGCGCCACATAACCAAGATCAGTAATGTACTTAAGGAGTGTCAGTATACAGCACCCAAATTTTTGTGCATCTTGTATCTCTTTTCAGGACATAGACGATAACAACGGCTTCCTTCTGCTTCTGGGTGATGCCCGGACAGCTCAGGTAAAAGCTTTCGCACGTATGGGTGAGGCAGACAGTACCGCTGCTACGCGCATTAAGCAATACCGGGACCGCGTGCCCAAAGCTGCCGCGCATTATCTGCAAGCCGTTGCCGAGGTGAGACTCTTTCTATTGATGTGGGTGTCGTATCCGATCGGAACCAATTTGCGTGCATGATTCAGGAGCACATAGTTTGCCAATTGGTGAAATATGACCAAATTTTATACTTGTATTGCACGCGTTACATGTGTGCATACTTGTCACACGTATACATCTTCGGATGGATATATGGATACAAATGTGTTCATATTTAACACATGCGCATACTTCACCGACGTATTTATGTGCGTACCCACACCATTCAGTGTACCTTTATATTTTAACATCCATCTCTGCACACTCTCGCGACACACCGTTATCATACAACCTCAACTACGCACATACCCACTTCTTAGGCGAACATCAACATACATACTCATACCCATTCTAAGACAATTATACCCAACATAATTGATCCGTGGCAGGTCAAAGGAGAACGGGATCTCGGGTTGAGAGAGTGTTACAATGTGAAAAGTGTGTCTACACAACAGGCAGAGGCCGACGCGGCTCCCTTACGACAGGTAGGATAACAAGTCTATCGGGATGAGATCTTTTGCGAGTTACATCCGCAACATGTAGGATTGGATCTTTCTGCTGGTTTTACTAGCGTCGTAGTCTAGCTTGGTCTATTCAGCGTGCCTTTAAGCCCAAAAATTCGTTCTAAACTTAAGCAGCGACTACTTCTGCCTATCGTCACATCCCTGATTTGGGAGTGATATATCCCTTGTATTTGCATAGACTATGGGACCCAAACTATCAAACAAGCTTCCAAAGTACCGTAAGTACTCATAATACCTCACGTCATAGATTTACCTCGTTAACGTATATCCTACATCAGGCTGCCCTGAGCGTATAGGGTATCAGGGAAGCCAACATGCACACTAAGAACTGAGAAATGCAGCATTCCGTACCTCGTTGATTGACTATCTATATCACGCGTTTCATACTCCACATAGGCCGCCCTGCGCGGACAGGACATCATGGAAGCCAACATGCAAACGAAGATCCGGGAAATGCAACAGCAGACGGCTGTGTGGGCCAATGAAGTGCAGCGCATGGACAGACAACTGGACTCGACCGTCAAGCAACCCGCCAGAGCTGAACGTGACCGTGTTATCAATGATGCTACGGCTAGAAGGTATTGTTTTGTTTTTATATATACGTGTATAGGTCTATGTTTGGGTTGTGTTGACACATCGGAGTAGAGCCGGTTGTGGCTTCGTTAAGTAAACATCGTGTGCATGATGCCAGTGATGCTAAGGCTAGAAAGTATGGGGTTGTTTGCATTTACGCGTATGTGTGTTTTAAATTTTTGTTGGCAAATTGGGGTGGAGCTGGCTACGAAAGCAACTTCGCTATGGCTACACGGCATGGTTTAGTTTTATACCTGCCTTTGAATAGCTGTGAGTTTGTATTACAGGTTTCTGTGCCTTGCACACAGTTGTGCAGTGATGCAGTAGCCAGCCAGGGCTATCTGTCATTGTGTGATCAACGATGCTACGGTCCATCGGGAAGATCCCGTTGTATCTCGCCTATGTGTGTGCGTATCCGTCCGTGACATATGTTGTCTGAGGTTGTGGACAATGGAACACAGCTAGAAATGAATTCTTGTGAGTTGAACGCGATCACATTTTGTCGATGATATGGCTAGTCGATTGTGTGTATGAGTGTCCGTTCGTGACCTTTGTAGTATGGGCGTCAGTGTGGTTGAACTCGACTGCCAAGCAACCCGCCAGGCCTGCTCTCAAAAGCGTTTATAAAACGGAGCTTAAATTTGTTAGCATATGCGAAATATACGTTGGTCGTTGTTGTCTATGTGGATCATGTGCAACATCTGAGTGCGTGATAAAATGCGCACTGTATGCACTGATATATACAGACAAGATATAAACGGGAATAGTCCTCGCCTGATTTTTATCTCACATTTGCTTACAAACTATTGTACTGTATTTCCCGCAAAAGGAACGAGCACATTTCCCAGGAGCAAGGCAAGGCCGTAGCTATTGAGGTACGTTTGATTGCGATCTCTTTATCAGCAATGCTGAAGCACATCACTTCTATATATATATATATATATATATATATATATATATATATATTATATATATAGTAGTAT